ACATATTTACAGATAATTACATAGTTTTCCACTCATAATTATTAAAAAACTATGAGTGAAAGGAAACTGTGCAGGTTGAATTACCCGTACTTTGGGGGGAATTCTTGAGCATCAAGACACTCTTTTTCATTCATTCACAAGTTTTACCATCTCTCCACTTTTCCAAGGCAAACTACCTACAGATGTTAATATTATTATATCCAGTGGGCATCCTGCTGGAGGATTAATCTTTTCCTCTATTTAAAGAACCCCTATAAACTCTCTCTCTCTCTCTCTCTCTCTCTCTCACACACACACACACACACACACACAATCGCTAAACTTAAAACAAGTTTGGACTGCTGGGAAAGTTAACACAGATGGTGACACAGTACATGGCTCCCCAGTTATAGTCCTCTCCTTTTATTTTCTTAAGATACTTATATTTGGTGGATGAGAAGTCCAAGTTTCAGACACCACACCAGGCAGATAAGATGCACATTAATTTATATATTATGGTCTGAAGACTAGCATTAAACCAAACAAGTTCTGTTCCCTTATTTGAGTGAAATTTTGAAAGTCTGAATATAATCAAGGAGGAAAAAAAGAGTCAATAACTTCAAAGGGGGCCACCAGAATTCAGTAGAAAATACAAATGCACAAAAAGGAAGAGTTCTCAGCTTCACTTTCTTTTTCTACAGTGTTTAATAAAAACTTCTTTACAAAATAAGTCATTTCCAACGTAGATCTACTGTAGTGATTTCATAAAAGTGCAGACAACATAACCAAACAGCAAAACAGACTTCAATCAGTAGTCCTTGCATACAAGAGGCATGCTAAGTGTACAGCACACTCTTCATCCTTTAAGGAATCTGAGGGTGGACACTTCCAGTTCTTAACAATTAAGAGTGCCTTTTAAAAGGCAATGCTAAACCTGGGATGGGTCACTACCATGTTGGGTAGGGGGGACAAAACAGGTAATGTGTTTTTCTTCAATAATGATCTGTACTTTGATGAGCAGTTCAAAGATGATAGCCCAAATTTTGACCTTGCTTCATAAGGCTCTATGTAAGAAACAATTTCTTCTTTCATCATTAGAGAAGATTCATACTTAACACAACTTAAATACATTATTTTCCAACCAATACACATTAGGACATGTCACGTTTTGAGTGTGAGACAAAATGCAAATCTATAAAACCTGCAAGGAAAGGGTTTCTGTGGCTGGCTGAGCATGGTGATGGATGCCTGTAATCCCTGTATTTGGGAGGCTGAGACAGAAGGATTGCCATGAGTTTGAAGCTGGCCTGGACTACACACTGACTGCCAGGCCAGCAAGGGTCACATAACTAAGATCCTGCCTTCAAAAGAAAAAGGGAAAGAAAGGGCAGGGCAAAGAAAGGAAAGAAGAAAAAGAAGAGATACTAATAAACAGCTGCTGTGTTGGGCCAAATCTCTGGTTGAATTGTAGTGGCTCAGAAGGGGTGTACAAAGAACTTACTATTAGTAAGCAAGACAAAGCAGCTCTTTTTATCTTGCAGCAACCACCACCAGTGTTCTTTCCATGGTTCATTCCTCTCTACTGCATCAAAAGGCAAACTCACTGAAACACTGACTCCTTAGCACAATGTTACTGCATTGTGAGTTACAGTTTCATATTTTACTTAACTTTCTGTTTGTTCACACAAGTACTAAGGGATTGTATCTAATAATCACCTTCTCATAAATATCAACCCAGAGTGTTAATTCTTTAAAAACACATGTATTCTTGCCTTAACTGAGTATTGAAATAACAAAACCAAATAAAAAATAGAACCTTAAGTGCCCTGGTGGAAATGTACAGTATGAGTTCGTTCCATCCATCCATCCATCCATCCATCCATCCATCCATCCATCCATCCATCCATCCATCCACACATATACACACTCATATGTATATGCAATATATACAAATGAAAATAGCTATACCAAAAATGTCTATCTGTAACAGTTTTAAAAAGCCAGTAGAAAAATGGTATAATACAATTTATTTTCACTAGTGAATGGCACAAATGAAAAAATGCAAAGATGTTTCAAGTACAATGAAGTCATTTTCACAGGTGAAAATAAATCATATTATTCCAGTGTCCTAAACAATGCATTCTATAGCTTAAAGTGTTAGACATTTACAGAAAGTTACTACAATCTGAAAAAAAAAAAAAAAACCAAAAAAACCCCAAAAAACGAAGCAACAACAGTTTTTCTAAATTGAAAACACAGTTTTCAATTTTTGAAAAGGGTACACAGAAAAAAATTGGTTGGTAGGATGGAATCTCCAGGATAGTTTCTTTAGTGTTTTGAATGGTGTTTACTCGATGTCCAGGCAGTCAAAAAGTCATAATGACTATGTAAGAAGTTCCATTTATCAGTGAGGCCTTGACTTGGAGTTCTGATGATATACCTGTGGCTGTGACTTCAAATGCAGGACTATTCATCTCTAGGTACTAAAATTATTATAAAGAATGGAAGCTCTCAATAAAAATAATAAACACATTTTTCAGCTAACATTGTTTATGTAGTGAAAGACTTTCAGATATTCTAGTTTGCGGTTAGAACTAATTTTTTAAAAAAGAGAAATATGTGCAAAGTGAGGGGAATCTAATTAGGAATAAAATGTCTCAATATATGAGGCTTTGCATTTTTAAAATGCTAACCCAAAAAAGGGAGGAGGACAAACACAAGGAACTTCTGGATACCAGATATAGCATTTACAACTTCCAATATGCTACAAAATTCCCCACGCTTATACTTTCTTAAACACATATATAATGAATGAAAACCAACAACTGGGGAGGAGGTAGTGTTAATTTGAACAAATGTTGACATTTCCATACTGATTCAGAAAATACTTGCTCTGTCTTCAGGATGTCTCAAACCCTTTCAGCATTTCCTGCTACTAGTCTTTACTCTGACAATTCCTGCTATGTACAATTCCTCAGAAGTTACATCCATACACACACACAAACCAATTAATTTTAATCATTTTTTGCAAACTACATGTATTTTAATTAAAATTAACTTGATGGTATAATCCAAGTATAACCATGGCCTACATATAAAAACTGGGTGTCACACAATTAAATTAGATACAAAGCCCTGTTGGACAGTCAGTATTCAATCACACTTTTATGAGTACATTTCGATCTGAAGAGACTCAGTAACTCAATTGACTAAGTGAAGTTCATAACTGCATTTTAAAATCTAGCTCTGGCAGTACTTTAGAGTTTGAAAGGTTGTTTTTCTTATACACATTTGATCTCCTTCCTTATTCTAACACTCCAGTAGCAGATAGGGACCAGATCCATGAAAAATGAAGCTTTTTAAAAATTAGTATTTTATGTGTATGAGTGTATTGCCTGCATGTATTTGAGTGCACCCATGTCGTGCAATGCCACGGAGGTCAGAAGAGGGCTTCGGATTCCCCGCGGAACTGGAGTTAAGGACTGTTCACAGCCGCCATGTGAATACTGGGTATCAAACCCAGGTCCTATACAAGAGCAGTCAGTGCTCTTAACCACTGAGCCCCTGGAACTGGAGTTAAGGACGGTTCAAAATGGGTCCTCTACAAGAGCAGTCAGTGCTCTTAACCACTGAGCCATCTTTCCAGCCCCGAAAAATAGTTTTTAAAGGGATTATACTCTTATATTTTTGGACATTCTATTAAATTATAAAGCTCTCCCTTATTTCTTCCAAATATTGAAATTCTCAACTTGCTTGAAACACTGTATATTTCAAATGTAAAAGAAAGATGTAAGCCTGAAAGAAAAGCCCTTTTAATCAGACATGACAAGTGTATGTGCTAACCTAAAAAACTGACCTGGAACGTTTAAGAGTGTTACCTGACACTGCCTACAAATTGTGTGAACTTCACTGTTATCAGTGGCATTGGTTTTTTAAAGGATTTACATCACAACATTAATTTTTCTTTTTGAGGCAGGGTCTCATATAGCCCAGGCTGGCCTCAAACTTGATTCTCTTGCCTCTACTCCACAAGTGCTAGGATTATGGGCCAAAGCCACCACACCTGGATTTAGCTTTTCTTTGACTCAGTGTCAGAAACCTTCAAATGAATGTCAGAAACTCCTAAAGGAGAGGTTCATGGAGACTGGACTGACACAACTGGGGGGGGGGCTTAAAATGGGCTAGGAAAAGCATAGCGGAAGACCGTAATCTGGTCACGTGTGCTCTGAGTGAGGAGTACTGTGAGGAACTTGGAGCCTTCTAACTATATGAAAAGCAGGATCTAGAGTTAGCAGCAAGAGCTCTTCAAGACAACTGAAAAGGGAGTAAGGCAGTAGCTTTCATTCAAAAGGAATTTTTTTTCTTCAAGTCACAGCTCTGCACCCACTTCCAACTCAAGTTCCACTCAAACATGGTATACTAACTAGCCTCTGACATGCAACACTGGATTGATCCTTCATTATAAAACAAACAAAACAAAACAAAACATGCCCCCGCCCCCAAATGTGAGTGGTCCCTGACCACTATAACCTATTTTTACCTTTTTTGTTGTTTTCACTTGTCAAACTTCCTAGTTTCTTTTTCAGTAGTACTTTAGCACTAAGACTTGAGACTTCTGGAAGTGGTGTTTTCTATTATGTGATGTTAACATGAACCCAAACCAAATGGTCACTAAGTCTCAATGAACTAGAAGTTTGTAATGTACTACAGCAACAAAAACAGCAATTAAAAAACAGAGGACCTGCACATGCAGCAAATCTACAGTGGTGAAGATTAGTCAGCAGCTGGTAGTCATTGGCTCAGTGACTCCTGGTTCACTATGGCAACTAAATATTTAAATAATTGACTATTTCTACTTGTAAACAGGAAATCCCATAAGCCAAGAGGGGATAATCAAATTATGTCTATTTGGTGTGATGAGTATTCTAATAGATGGCAGTAACATAAATATGGCATCATTCAAATACCTCTGGCATCTGATCTGTATTGGCTATGTGTCTTTGTTTTTTGTAAAAACAAAGCAAAAGTACTGTTTGGGATCTTATAGTTTAGCTAGGATGAAACATCACAGTATAAGTAACAAAGTGTCAGCATACACAGATCTATCTCCTCACTCTAGGGCTGGATATACCTATCACATGGACTTTCAGGGGCCCCTATCACACTGATCATCTTCCCCTTTGAAAGCTCACAGGCTTATTAATGTAATTCCCATACAGCTTTGGGATCTCCTTGAGCAATTCCATCTTACTGTGACACAAAAAAGACAAAATTCAATAGACAAAAATCTTTGACAAAGTTACAAAACACTTAGCGAAAGAACTAAATTGTTTTCTGCCACCTGAAAAGGTCAACACAATCCTTTAGAGTTTGTAGGTTTCTGCTTTTTCACTCTAAATGAGGCTGAGAAGTCAGACAATTTTTTTTTTCTTTTTGGTCTTTTTGAGACAGGGTCTCCCTATAGCCCCACTTGGCCTGGAACTTGCTTTGGGGACCAGGCTGGCCTTGAACTCACAGAGAGCCACCTGCCTCAGCCTCCCAAGTGCTGAGATTAAAGGTGTGCACCACACCTGGCCAGAAGTCAGACAGATTTAACAGAGAAAATACACTGATGAGGAGTTAAGGTATGTTTCAATAATAGTGTACTGTCAGTGGCTCACAGAATTTGGAAAATGGGAGAAGGCTTTGGATCTTTTCACAAATTTCTTAGGATATGGACCCCCTAAAGTGATGAGTAAAGTCAATTTGCTTCATTTTATTTTACACTGTTCAGAAAACAACCCCTCTATCTAACCAATTTCTTTTTGTCACACTTTTGAGATATCTATCTATTCCCCTTTTCAAAATTTCCCCCCAAATTAAAAACAAAACAAAAATAACCACAAAAACCTGGCAGCCAAATACTATGACATCCCAATTAGTAAACACAAAACAGAACACTTTACAAAAACAAATACAATATACCATATACATTCAGCTTCCACACTGGAGTACCCAAGTGAGGAGGCTGCTGTGATGACGTCTGTAGGCGGTTTCTTTTGGCAGACAGCTCCACTGGAATTGCCACTTTCAATTATTAAGTTATGTATAAGACATGTGTGACCCATTGGATATCTGTGAAGTGACACTCGTGCTTCTGCTCATGCCCTGTTCCGTCCGTCCCCCGGAAGCTGTCCGCCTCAGAGCTTGGGGGCTATTGCGGACTCCCATACTGCTACCTCGAGGTACCCCTTGCATTGGCCCTGAGGGATGACCCCATGGCTGGGGTCCACCTTGCATTGGATGGCCCCATGCTTGTGGTGGGCCACCCATGGGATGACCCCAGTGAGGTCCTGGACCCCCAGTAGGATTGTGAGACCAACTAGAAGCTCCTGGGTAGCTGTGGCTGAATGCCTCAGGGGAGAGATTAGAAAGGACCATGTTACTAAAGCCTAGTCTCATGCTTTCAGAGTCAAAAGCTTCAATTTCTCTGGCTTGACGCTCTAGCAGGCTACGTATTCGTTCTGTACGTTCGTTCTGTAAAGCCAACATCTCTTCTTCAATCTGTTGGAGGTAGAGGAGGAAAGCAAAAAGACAAATTAATTTTCAAAAAATATTTTATTTATTTAATTTTTTGTGTATGAGTGTACTGCCTGCATCATGTATGTGCACCCATGTCTTGCAATGCCCACAGAAGTCAGAAGGAGGTTGCCCTGGAACTGGAGTTACTGATGGCTGTTAGGTGCCATGTGGGTCCTGGGAATCAAACCTGGATCCTCTGCAAGAGCAGTCAATGCTCTTAACCATGGAGCAATCTCTCCAGTCCTGACAAATTAAACTTTTTTAGAACTATCAATGAAAGAAATACTAATTAGCAGCTATTTATGTATAGTTAAAAAATAATTTGTAAACAAATTTATTAATATTATTAATTTATTAATTTTAGTATGTATTTAATATGTGCTTGCCTGCATGTATGTAAGTGCACCCTGTGTGTGCAATGCCCACAGAAGTCAGAAAAGGGCATTGGATCCCCTGGAAATGGGGTTCCAGATGGTTGTTAGCTGCCATGTGGGTGCTGGGACCCAAACCCAGGTCCTCTCCAAGAGCAGCCAGTGCTCTTAACCACTGAGCCATCTCCCCATTCCTAAAAATTATTTTAAAAGATGAACTGGTCAGTGGTGGTGATATACCCCTTGAATCCCAGCACTCAAGAGTCAGAGGCAGAGGATCTGAGATCAAGGCCAGCCTGGTATACATAGGGACTTCTAGGACAGCTGGAGTTTCAGAGGACCATCGTAAAAATGATGCTCTGTAGTATATAGTAATCATACACAATTGTTTTTAAAACTGTATAAAATTGGGGCTAGAGAGATAGCTCAGCAGTTAAGAGGACTTGTCGCTCTCCCAGAGGTCACCAGATTGGTTCCCAGCACCCACTTAAGGTGGCTCACAACCACATGTAACTCCAGGTCCAGGGGATACAATGTTCTCTTCTGCCCTCTGTGAGGACCCGCACACACATGGCATATACTCACAAGGACACATACAATTAAATAAAAACAAATAATCTAGACCTTAAGAGCAAATGTAAGCAGGACTGAGGACATATGCCTGTAATCCCAGCACCTGCAGGCAGAGCCAGGAGGATCAGGATTTCAAGGTCATCGCTGAATACATAGTAAGTTCAAGGATCAGGATTTCAAGGTCATCGCTGAATACATAGTAAGTTCAAGGCCAGGCTAGCCTAGCTACATGAGACTATCTCAAACAACAATAAAAGCAGTTAATAATGTCTTACTCAAGTAATAAATTATCATCAGTAGTTACTATGTCCATCAGATGGTAAAAAGTTGATGGAAAAAGAAAACAAGTGGGGGAAAACAACTTTATCAGATAATAGATGCACAAATGTCACTTTAATAAAGTAAGTAACAGTAAAGGAATACACAAATAGATCAGTGAAATGGAATTAGAATACAGATCAGTTTGTACATCTTTAATATAGGTTAGAGGTAGGGGGATATGTAGGTTAGTCAAAGGGAGCTTGTTAAGCATGTACCAGGCTCTGGTTTCAATCCACAGTACTATGAAAAAAAGAAAAATGACTAGCAAGATGGTTAAATGGATAAAGATGTCTGCTGCCAAGCCTAACGATCTCAGTTTGGTTTTCAGGACCCACAGGTAGGAAAAGAGAATCAGCACCTACAAGCTGTTCTTTGACTTCCACGGGTGTGCTCTCGCACACACACTTTGCCTTTAAAAGGGAAATCTGGTCTGGCGTGGTGGTACACACCTTTAATCTCAACACTCTGGAGGCAGAGGCAGGCAGATTTCTGTGAGTTCAAGGCCAGCCTGGTCTACATAGTGAGTTCCAGGACAGCTGGGGCTACAAGGAGACCCTGTCTCAAAAAGACCCCCCCCCCACACACAAAAAAGACAAAGCAGCTGGGAAGCTGTGATTGTAGCTAAGTGGTAGGGTGCTTGCTTAACATGAGACAGGCCCTAGATTCAATTCCTAGCACTTTGGTTTTTTTTGTCTTTTATTGAGACAGGGTCTCCCTGTAGCTCCAGCAGTCCTGGATCCACCTGCCTCTGCCTCCTAAGTGCTGGGATTAAAGGCATGTGCCACCATGCCCAGCTAATTTTTTTTCTTTTATTATTACTATTATTATTACTGTATGCATCTGAGGGGGCATCTGTGGACATAATAGAACAACTTTCAGGAGGTTGGTTCTTTCTCTCTACCACATGGGGCCCTGGGACTAAATTCAGGTTGTCAAGATTGATGTCAAGCACTTTTAGCTGCTGATCAATCTTGTTGCTGCCCCCCCCCCCTCCCTCTCTCTGACACAAGGTCTTATGTATCCTAGGATGGCCTGGAAGTCACCATGTAGCTGGGATCACAGATGTGTACTACCACACCCATTTAATGTGATCCAGGAATCAAACCCAGGGCTTTATACATACTAAGTGCACAGTACACTAATAACTGAGCTACATCCCCAGTTCTCTTTTTTTATTTCCTTGAGATAGTCTATGTAGCCCAGGCTGGCCTTAAATAAATGATCTTCCTGCTTGAGGCACCTGGGTGCTGAGATTACAGGGCATGTCACAATGCTCAGAAATAAAGTCAAGTTTTAAAAATCGGAAGAACTTTTTGTTGGATGGTCAGATTGACAATAACTGAATCTACTGCATATTACTTAAAAGAGGGAACAAGCTGGGCTTTAACCTTAAATCTCAGCACACTTTTAATCTCAGAGGCAGGCAGATCTCTGTGAGATTGAGGCCAGCTTGGTCTACATAGGGAGTTGGGACTTGGGACTACAGGAAGACTGTCTCAAGACCAGAAAAAAAAAAAAAAGAGAGGAACGAAGTGGCAGATGCCTGGAGCCTCAGTTACACAAAAACAATGGACAGAATGACTAGATTACCTCATGATGTGAGGACATCCAAGTTCTACCTGTATTTAGAAGTGGAATACTTTTCAAAACTCTACATACAGTTCCCCTAAGAAGGTATAGTGCTTGTTCTTGTATGTGTGTGTGTATGTGTTTGTGTGTGTATTCATACATAAACAGTTCAGGACAGGCTGGAGTAAGAAAAGTTTAAGAATTACTGTTCTGAGACAGACGTGGTGGCACATATGTCTCATAATTATTAAAAAAGAAAACGAGAATGTAAAAGATGTTAAAAGATGGGACTGGAGACATTTTCCAAAATAGAAAAAATGAGAAAGCCTAAACAAGAGATGAAGGTCTGTGTAGGTTTGCTATGATATATAAATAATGAGACAAATATAAACAGGGGCTGGAGAGATGGCTCAGAGGTTAAGAGCACTGACTGCTCTTGCAGAGGACCCGGGTTCAATTCCCAGCACCCACATGATGGCTACCAACTGTCCTTAACCCCAGCAGTTCCAGAGGAATCCGAAGCCCTCTTCTGACCTCTGCAGCAATGCACGACATGGGTGCACTCACATAGATGCAGGCAACACACTCATACACATAAAATAAAATATTAAAAATATATAAATATAATCTTAAAATTTCTTTAAAAATTAAAAAAAACTTTTTTAAAATTTTATGTGTATGAGTGTATTGCCTGCGTGTAGGTAAGTGCAACTGTGTTGTGCAATGCCTGCAGAGGTCAGAAGAGGCTGTCAGATCCCCTGGGACTGGAGTTATGGACAGTTGTTAGCCGCCATGTGGGTGCTGGGATTCAAACCTGGGTCTTCTGCAAGAACAGCCAGTGTTTTTAACTGCTGAGCCGTATCTCCAGCCCCACATAATCTTAAAATTTCTAAGGTCATAGTTTAGTCAACTAGTTTAAGTAACAAAATATATGTCTAACCAAGGTTTATCTGAGAATGTTTGGTTTTTGCCCGAGCTTTATCTACATAGCACATGGTAATTAAAAGTACCAGACTGGTGGAACTAACCTTTTTGGATGTTTTAACAGCCATACTTTGAGGTCTATACTAATCTGGTCAGAGGGACTTAAAGGACAGTTTTTGCTCCTTGCCCTCCAAGGTTGACTATGTTCCAGGGGACTATGGAACATCTCTCAAAATGTCCTGTTAACACCTGTCCTCCTGTTCTGGGAGGCTATCGAGACCCCCACCAGATGGACTCAAACCAGTGTCCAGTCTACAAAGAGGAAGGTCAATTCAGAGGAAACATTTTCTCTGTGCTTCCAAGTGAAGCCAGCCATGGTCGAGCAGGACCTTTGACTTATCTTCACAGAAGTGGAACTGTTGTAAAAGCAAGGAGCCAGGGACTCCTCCCAAGCCCATGTGACCCCTGAGGAACAGATCCTCCAACAACCTGAAGACTAAAAATAAATTGGTTTATTTGGGCCAACTGTATGGTCTTAAATACCCAAAAGGAAAGTATAACCAAAGATTAAAGTGAACAGTATATTTCTTTAAGAGTTCAAGGGATTACAATTCTCAGACATTAGGCCATATAAAATGTTATTTAGACAATTATTTCTCATTGATGATTTTGTTTCTAAGCAGAAAGTGCTGCTCAGATGTAAGACTTCAAATCCTGGTCTGCAGTACTGTAGTGTCCACCTGTACCTAAAGGAGATAACCCACTACTGTTCTAAAATGATGGCTAAACTTGTTTTCTCCCCCTATCTAGAAGCCTTTGAGAGGGAACTGACACTGATTCTAGCCACTCCAATAGCTATCAAAGTACCTGAAAACAAATCCTAAGTCCATCATTCTTGAGTCCAGCCTTGGTAGACAGAAGAAAAATGAGGAAGAACCCAATAGAGGGATGTTTTGGAAGCACTCATCAAGAAATTCCGACAGACTCTGATGCGAATATTTGAAATTCGCCCAGTTCTGACTTTTTTCTGGTTCCCCGTCTAGAACTTGTAATGCTAACTACTCTTGCCTTTACTTCTCCTTCACATCCCCTATTCATCAGGCAAGGACTTTCTTTTCCCCCTACCAATAAAAGTTATGCAATTTGGGAGTCTTTTAGACCCACTGAAGGGGTACCCCAATTGCCTCACCCTGTGTCCCTGGTTCAGCATGGAAGAAGCTAGAG